AGGCACAATACTGAAAATATTCCAAAAGACGTAAAGTTCCCCTTCTATACAAACTGTGAAGATATGGCCCAAGAGGAAATCCTCCACTGCCTTCAAAGCTCATCCCTTGAAAAAATATTTGTTGGCATTCCAGATATTATTTATTCCCTCTTACCTCTCATCTTGTTACCTGTTATTTCTACAGATCTGTATGAGATCATGTTATCAGCAGCACAGAACTAAAATCTAATAACTGCTGTAAATAAACTCTAAGCAAGCAATTGTAGCAATGCTCAAAGAAAAAAAACCGCAATTTTATTTTAAGGATACTGTTTAAAATAGCAAGAGCAACCTTAGCAGAGGAAGGGAGGAGGAGAGTGGGATTTAGAAGATTTAGAACACAAGGATATGAGCACTGAAGAAACTGGATTTAAAGCTACTGAAAAATAAATGATTTTTGAAAGACAGGAGCAAATAGGACTGTAGCTATATAATAATCTTCATCCAGATGAATTTTGAAATATGAAAGGACTCTACACTATAGATAAGGTTCCAGTCTAGGATCATACGTGTATGGAAACAAGATTTACCCACAAAGTATTCATGTATTCAAATTCAGCCATGCCAAAGTTCCCTATGACTATTTCTCCTGACAGTCAATTTTTTCCTCGACTGAAATGTATCCTATTCTCAGGACTCTGAGGAGCCTCCAGTATCTTCAAGGCAGGGTTGGATTGAAACTTCACAGTTCTTCAAATTAACATAAGCAGCAGTAAATACTTGATTCCATTTGTAAAGCACCAACTCTCTCTTGCCTCCAATCAAACATTTGAGGGATCCAAGGTCCCCTGGGTGGTGCCAAGCAATAGGACAACAGGTAGCAGGCAGAAACCAAAACACAGGAATTCCACTAGAATATAAGTAGAACTTCCTTACTGAGCAAGTAACCAAGCACTGAAACAGGTTGGCCAGAAAGGTTTTCGAGTCCCTTCTCTGGAGATATTTGAAAGCCATTTGGACACAACCCTGAGTAATGTGCTCTAATGGAACCTGCATGAGATGACATCCAGCAGTCACTTCCAACCTTACCTATATCCAGTCTCTACAAAGAGTTCAACCCACATTTCCAGAGATGGATAAGAAACGCAAATCTGATCTAAGGTATGAGCTGAATCTGAAATATGACCACAATTTCTGTTCGCTTCCTTCCTAGGAATATAACTGCGTAAATGTGTTTTAGAAAAACTACTTTAACTAAAAACATAGTATGCTAAGCAAAAAATCTTACACCTTATTCAGATCACAACACATCTCTCAAAATTTCTTGGCCTCATTACAACCTTTGTCACAGAAGTATTTACAAATTCCCTTTGCGTACGAAAAAGGTGTTTGAAAATAATATTAAATTTGAAATTAAAGAATTGCACGTACAGAATTTCATCAGAGAAATTATAGCTGAGATCGAGACATGTAAGAAAAAAAACCCCTAACTGATAGAGCCTTGGGTATTCTAACAAAAAAATATTTTGAGAGTCTTCCTCCCCAGTATGTATTATTTTTTTTTCATTTTACACAGCTGGAAAGCTGCTTATTTATCGCCAAAATTTTCCATTTGTAAAGAGTTCAACTCAGAATTCAGAAGCAATAGTAAGAAGCGAACTGCAGCATCTTAGTTTTCAGTTCAAGAAACACCAAGTTAACAAAACTTTAGTTTGTAAAAGGGTCGAGACTTAAACGTGACTTACAGATCCGTGGGCTCCCCTCGGGCCAGCTTCTCAGCACAAGCGTAGGCGCCTTTGTGCAGCCAGCAGTAGGTGTCCACAGCCACCGTCAGCCCTTTGTACTTCTTCACGTGCGAGGGCTCGGCAGCCTCCTTGATAAACTGGAGCAGGCCCTGGATCCCCATGATGCCGCAGAGCGGCGGAAAAACGAACGGAGCGAACACAAAGCCGAATGCTTTGTGCTCCTGACCGGCTCTCTTGATGTTCGCCCGAGGGCCGTCCGGTCAGCTCACACACGGGCCGCTGGGCCACGCCGGGGCCGCGAGAAGCTCCTGCCGGTGTCCCCACGCATCCCGGCTCGGGGCCGCCTCCCCACGCGGCGGCGGCTGGACCTCGTTGCGGGCCGGCACTGCCCGGGGAGTGGGGCGAGAGAAGGAGCGAGGAAGGACCCAGAGACTGGGCCTGGGCTCCCGCTGTGCCCCGCCTCGCTGGGGCAGTCACGGCTCCTCCGGCCCGGCTCAGCTCAGCTCAGCTCGGCCGTGGCGCGCGGCGGTCGCCCCAGGGCTTTCAAGCAGCGCGCGCTAAGCGCGGTGGCCCCGCCCCGCGCGCGGAGACTACGATCCCCATGGTGCCCCGCGCGGCCCCGCCCGCGCTGCGGCTGCGGCTGCGGGAGCGGGAGCGCGAGCGCGCGTTCCTGACAACTTTCCTCACAGCCGGCGTGCGGCGGACACGGCTCGTGGATAACAACGGGAACGTGACACTTATCAACATTAAATGCGCAGAAACCAAAAGGCCCGCAGAGTTTTAACAGCACAATGGGCTGTAGCCAACGCCGTGAGAGGGGAGGGGCGGGGCTGGCGCGGGTCCCTGCTGCCAAGGATCGAGCGAGGGACAGATGTTATTTATTGTCACAGCTCTGAAACCCCGGGCTTAATGTGAGAACGGATAGCCAAAATTACAATTATGTGATACGTGTTCTTTTTCTTGTCAGTTAACGTAAGGGTTTGCTTGCAAAAATAAAAACAAAAACTGCAGTAAGATGTAAATTTAGGCCAATATCTACCAGACAAGCGTTTCTTTTTCTACATGCCATTTTGAAGTCTGTGCAGTATCTAAGAGATACTTTGACTCGGTGACATGGATGACTCCGTCAGCAGTGTAGAAAGCAAAGTAAAATCAATGCATTCTGGAAAGAGCACATTCGAATTACAACTTTTCAGCTAAGAAAAGCATAGAAAAAACTTGGCCACAGTGACAGCACGAGATATTTTAATGTTGAAAATATTGATTGAATTCTGCTTTGCGAATTCTTTATTCACGCCATGATTCTATGTATGACACACTCCACAAGTTTAAAATCCAATTGCAGTTAGAATTCCATTTGGATTATGTTCACTTCTCTTAAGAATATGGTCTTCTATCACTTCTGACATTTCTTTTTCTATCAAACTGCTGTGCTCATGGGAAGAAGAGAAATCAGAGTAGACAATGAAATCTACTGATATAATTCAAAATCTTACGTGCA